TGCTGTAATTCTAATAAGGGATATTTAAAAGACCATAATATAAATTCAGAAAAAGAGACAACTCAACAATTAAGTCTACTTTTCTAAGATTGTATAACCCCACAGAAACAAATAAATAAAAAGATGTGCCTATTAGAGCTAAATGTGTTTTATTTAACCCGGTTTCTAATAATAGTGAATGTTTATATAGTTCTTGCTTTATGTTGGACACTGTTTTAAATGCTTTCTGTATGAGAGTCCCTTTAATCTTCACAAAAAATCCATGAGGTAATTTTGGGGCACAGAGAGTGATAACCCCAAAGTGTGGTGCTTTGGCATGCTGAGTGCTTTTAAATTAAAAGGAAATGAAAGGCCTTAGAAGCTGCCTCAGATCCAAGAATTTTCTAACCTTCTCTTGTTTCTCCTCCAACCCCTCCTCAAGCACAGGGAGGAGCTCTCTCTGGAAGTTTCTTTATCAGACTGAGAAATCTTCTTCCAAAGAAAGCAATTGTCTTAAAACCCCCTTCCTAGGAATCTAACAGAATAAGCAGGAAAACTAATCTCTGGAGAAGAGAATAAACTAAAAGTTGTCACCATGCTCAGACAGACTCTTAGTCTATTCTTCTGAGGGCAGCTCTGAAAGATTACCTGGGAGTCTTTATCTGCAAAACAAGACAACTTTTGTTCACAGTGCAGGTTCAGCTCTCACCTTTCTGTAACTTGTCCACAAACTATCGTTAGCTCTTGGTCCAATTCAATTCTGAAAATAATTTACTACCTCTCAAAATTGCCTACATTTCCCCATCTTATTCTTTCCTATAAAGTGGGTTCTATCTAAGTTTCAACCATCTCGCCTTTCTTTGAGTCTCATATTTTTTATGGCTCCCACTGTATGCACGTTAATATATTTGTATACCTTTTCTCCTGTTAATCTGTCCATTGTCAGTTCATTTCAGCAGACTGGATCCCTCAGAGGAGAAGGGAAAATTATCTTTTCCCCTACAGTAAGTACTATTGAAATTATCAATGGTGCAAATAAAGAAACTGAGGCACAGAGAGGATAAGTAATTTACCAAGTAGTACATCAGCTAGTTAGTGGCAGAGCTGGGATTTGAACCCAGATAGTCTGGCTTTAAAGGTCACAATTATAACTTTATGTTATTCCCTCTCAAGTCCATTCTAAGATACTGTTGTTAAATATATCTTGTATTTGGTCACAATCAAAAATATTGAATTATACACTAGATTGTGTGTAAAGACAAGGTCATGTATTTTCAAAGTTAAATTCTAGCAATTCAAATTTTTGAACATTTTAATATATGTTTTGTATGCATTATTTAAACTGGAATGGACATACGAGCATGCATTTGTTTAGTAATACTATAGAGATCAAACAAAAGTTTAGGCATGCACACACACACACACACACACACACACACACAGTCAAGATACACTTAGAAAAATATCAGCAGATTTTTTATTGTCCCAATGACTAGCGGCTGCTACTGGCATTTAGATTAGGTTGGTGAGCTTCAAGGATGTTAAACATTCTGCTCTTGCAACAGTCTGACTTGAGAAAGAATTGTCTTGCCAAAATGCCAGCAGTGCCACACTGAGAAAGACTGAATTGCTACATACTACCCTTTAAATTAGAGTTTACACTTTCCAAAGTGAGCTGGCCCATTTTGTGAGAAAGCTGGCACAAAATAAGTTATTATAAGATACATTGACATTAAGATATATATAATATGCAACAATAAAGACTATTTAAAAAGGCTGTTAAATTCATTTAGTAGAAATATTAAAGCATTCCAATATACTCTGACTTAGAAAGTAGCTGGAGTCACCTGGCTCACTGAGTTTATTTACTATACATTCTAAGATAATATTTCTGAAGTTATAATTTCCATCATGGCTTGACTTTAATTCAAATCAAAATAGCCATTATAATACCTTTCATTTTCTAAGAATGTATACCTGGGCTTATTGAAAGTCAGAGTGAACTGTCATAAATGCTGAACTACTTTAGTTTGCAGAGTCAGTTTTTTTTAGCATTGAAAAATAAGCAATGATGTGTGGCATGATTTGCTGGGAAAATCAGACTTTTCAGTCAAATATTTAGAGTTAAAGGCTAATTTTAGCATTTTAAAAAAGAAAGTTGCTTAATTTCTGAAGCCTTTAATTTCTTGCTTTTGAAAACAGGAATACTATCACTCCCCACTCTACTAGCCAATTAAGCTGGGTGAGGGTCGAATTTCAAATTCCTTGTGAAAATAATTTATGAACTATAACACAATATTAACACTCCCCCCATCTCCAACAGTGTCATAACCAAGCAGTTGATTCTTTACTTCTAGTGATAGTAGAGGGGAAAGAGGAGAACTCTTACTGTTTTTTGTTATTTCTCCTTAGTCATGACTCCTGAATATCTTTGGCAAAATTAAGGGGAAAAAAATAACATCATTTACTTATTAGCTAAGTAACCAAGTGAGAAAAGTTAATGTGCTTTGTCATGCTTTATGGTTGTACTTAATGAGCTACATCAGACAATAACGGTGCTAAAGGAATGACCTCCTGTTATTGGGGCATGTGAAGGACTCTTCCAAGATCCCTCAAAGGGATAGACATTCACACTGCTCACTAGGCCTTTGGGCTCTCTCAGTACGTTAGTGTTACTCAGATTTGGAACTCACACAGTGGCTGCCAGAGAGTTTAGGAATATAGTAGGTCCTCAAATATATGCACACATCAGTTGATTAATTAAAAAGCCCAATAACCTTACTTTCAGACTATGTAAGAAAAAATTTCAAATCTTGCAATTAATGTGAATATATTTCAGGTTCCAACCCTTCAAATATCTTTCCAGTTTTATTCAAATATTTCAAAAAATCCTTTCTCTATATCAATTCCAATATTACCTTTATGCACTTGTAATACACTCTGTTTTGCTCCTCTATCTCAGAGAGCCCACATGCAAGTAGTTTGGTTATCTTTTGCAACACTGTAATTAATCTCTTTCAACACTCCCACATTTCTCACAAGTTAATATCTTTCTCACACAGAACGGCCAACATGTTGGGCTATTTTTGAGTTTTCAACTCCAATCAAGTGCCAAATCATATGTATTTTACCTCTTTAGCTTCATTCTCCGTATCTTCCCTTCCACATCTGTTATTCTAGCTTAGACTCTAATTACTTATATTTTACTCTGTTATAATATTAATAACTGCTCAGTTTTTCAAACTAACATTCAGCAAATAGTTATTTGGAACTTACCCCAACCATGTGCTAAGTACTAGGATTCCAACACATGGTCTTTGCTTTCATGGAGAGTGTAATAGAAACAGAAAACACAGGCAAAGGCCCAAATTTTATCCATTTCAGAATCCACTGTAAAAGGAATCTTCATTTAAACAAAGTATGGGCCACACCTCCCCTTTGTTATGAGAAGAAAGGACAAGCATCCTCACATCCAGTACTTGTTATATTCTGTCTTCACTTCTTCTGTTTTGTTTTTCTCACTGTGCCTTACATGTAGTAGGAATTCAATAAACCTGAATGAATGCTTCAAGCCTCATCAGGCTTTTCAAGTTTGTAATCTTAATAACTCTTTGCATAAAATCACAGCACATCACAGTGATAGGGGTTTTAGAATCTGTCCCAAGTCCATCACTTTACAGACTCTGAGAAGTGATTTGCTCTTCTGTGACAGAACTGGAAGACAAACTGGGCCCTGGCTTTCTACTCCAGAACTCATCCCACTTCACCATGTGCCTCCAATGACAGGGTAAGAGGTGAGGCAGTTACTCTATTTAAACATGTGTGACATTCACTGTCCTGATATATTACAGGTGCATATGTCAATTGATTAATTATATTACATTATATTACATATATTACAGGTGGTAAAGAAGATGTGGAGATTCCCATAGCTACAAGCCTTTGGGGCTAGTGCCTATTCTCTGGTGTAGAAAAATCACTTCAAAGGGAGAGAAATAAGAATGACAGTCAAACAACTATTATTTTAGTTAACATACATAAAAACATTAACTACTATTACTACTAGGGTCTTTCTTTTTTGGAAGACTCCACACACACACACACACACACACACACACACACAGACTTTCTCCACAGGCCGGAAAGATTGGTCTTCAGTGTCTCTTCCATTGTAGTGATCTACAGCATACAAAACAGGTTTCCTAACACATCTAGGGCATTAGGGAGCTAGATACAGTCTCATAGTTTTTCCTTATTCTTTTATAAGTCATGTGGCCCTTCAGGTCCTTTCTAAAACATATTTATGTAAGTGAGAAAAGGAAGCCGAGGGAAAAACTAATTCTCATTTTGGACACTTCCCCTACCAGTAAATATAACATATCTATAGTAAATGGTGAGTAAATGTAAATAAAATTACATTTCAGAGTAAAACCCACATTTGGGCCATCCTTCAAATTTTATCCTAAAATTTGGAGTGCAATTCTAGGAGGATAACTGTCCTGAGGGGAAAGGGAGAAGATGACTGGGGTCCAAGGATATCACAGGCGATGTTATCCCTGAGGGTGCGGAACTGGCGCCATGAAGGGGAGCAATACGGATTTAGTTTCCCTTCACTTCGCCCTTCCTTCCCATCACTGAAAGTCTAACAATACAGACACCAGCTATAGACTAAATGCAGACTAGGACTGAGACGAAAAGTGGACCACTGGTAAGAGCACAAGCCATGGCAGAAGATATGCAAGATGAAAAAAGACAGAAAAAGAAGACTAGAAAATTTGCAAGCAAGAAACATTAAGGAGAAAGGCCTGTTAAGGCTAAGCACAGGTAGAAAATTTATAAAGCCAATGAAATGAAACTAAAAACACTGGGCCTCTACTGAGCCATGTGAAAGAATACTTTGATTCTTAATTTTGTTGCATCATGTCTGGTTCTGCCAAAAATAGGTAAATCTTAATAGCATTAAATAGCACATCTTAGTGGTAAAATGTAAACAGAGTATCAGAAAAAAGGGTTAGGCTTACATTTTCTCCATTAAGGCCAGCCAGACCTGGATCTCCTTTTTCTCCTTGTTCACCCTAAAAAGAAACAATTTATACAATGAAAAATCTTATATCTGAAAACCTTTGCTAGCAAAAAATAAAGAGTTACGTTGTTTGGGTATTTATAACAATATAATTACTTTGCTAAACCCTTGAAAGGCACGTTTATTAAAAAACAATTGTGAGTTGTAAAACTAAAGAGAAGATTAAAAGTTCAAAGAAAAGCTGCAGCTGGGTGCAGTGGCTCACACTTGTAATCACAGCACTTTGGGAGGCCGAGGCTGGTGGATCAATTGAGGTCAGGATTTCGAGACCAGCCTGACCAACATGGTGAAACCCATCTCTACTAAAAATACAAAAAAATTAGCTAGTCATGCACATGCCTGCAGTCTCAGCTACTCTGGAGGTTGAGGCAGAAGAATTGCTTGAGGCGGAGGTTGCAGTGAGCCAAGATCATGCCATTGCACTCCAGCCTGGACAACAGAGCAAGACTCCATCTCAAAAAAGAAAAAAAAGCTGCTGCATATAAATGATTAAACTATAAAAATGGAACGAGAATATTTATTTTCTTCTATAAGCAACAGAGAACTTTCTGGAAGGTGATTTGGATTGACAATATATACCAAGGATCTCCAATCCATTCATTTCATTTGGGCCAGTGATTTCACTTCTAAGAATGTATACTAATGAAATAATCAGAGATAAAATAATCAGAAATGAAAAATTCAGAGATGAAAAATTTTAGGCACTAATATGTAGGGTGTAATGCTATTTATAGTAGTAAAAAAAGAGAAGCATCCTAACTGTCCAATAATAGGAAACTGGATAATGATATAGACAATGAATAGATTATGATGTAGTCATTAAAATCACATTTGTGAATTTTATTTTATACTAGAGAAAAATGCTCATGATATAAAAAGCAAGACAAAATTAATACATAGACAAGCCCAGTGGATAAATGCTAACCAATATATATTTTTATGAAAGTTACAAATGTTCAAAATGGTCACTAATACCACTGCGGATGATACATACCCATAGTGACACATAATTTTGTTTTCTTGCCATCTGAAAAGTGTGTACTTTTATTGGTCCACCCTGCATATAGTATAATTCAATTTTTGAAAATGCCTCTCTACATATCCAGCTGTCTACCTACCTACCTGCACTTAGAAACAACACTGTGAGAAAACAAACCGAAGTAATAAAAGTGGTTAATCTAGGCATTGTGATCACAGATGATTTTTTTCCTTCACTTTACTCCTGTTTTTAAATTTTTTTCTAGCACTAAACACGTATTAGCTGTACAATCAGTAAGGTGTTTAAAAATAAAAGAATATGTATATAAAGTACTCAACTAAGTGTATCCCTCTGTGTGTGTCTGTTTGTGTGTCTGTGAAGTTAGTGGTAGTAATCTTTGCTTTATTCTCTTCTTTATATTTTCTGTTTTTCTTCCTTCATTTTTCCTACAGTGAACATTATCATTTTTATTTGCAAAAAAGTAAAGAAAAGCAAGTACCTGATATTAATAGATAATACATTACAGAAATACATTTGCCCACTCTCAGTTGTCTAAGCATATGTATTATTACTGTATGGAAAGCATAGGAAATGAAGTAAAAAATAACTTAATCACTGGGACATAAGAAATGCATACAATATACAAAACAAACAAAACTGCATACAAACACAACCAGTAAAAATAGGTTTCAGTTAAAATAAATCAGAGGATTCTAAGCTAAAAATGGAAGGGTACGGAATTACTCTATAGAATTGTGCTGTCCAACACAGTAGCCATTAGCCACATGTGGCTACTAAAATTAAAAGTAAATTAAATTAAATGTAAACTTCAGTTCCTCAGTGGCCCTAGCTACATTTCCAGTGCTCAACCATGCCTACTATATTGGACTCTGCAGATCAGAACCTTTCCAGCATCACGGTGAATTCCATCCATTGGACATTGCTGTTGTAGAGGATGTCAAATATGACAGGAAACAAAATAAGAATTTAAAGGCTCACAAATACATAGAAGAAAATATCTTTCTAATAAGGGGATCAGAAACAATAAAGTGTTTAAATACTAACACTAAATGTGTTCAGGATAAGTTATTAGAATGAATAGAAATTTTTGACACAGAAGACACATATAATTCCACGGATATCAACATTAAGTTTCAGAATGTAACTAAAAATGGATATAGTCTTTATGCAAAAGTAATGATTCTCATAGATGGAAAGAATAAGCAACTCTGCATATTAAAGAGATATGTGCATACAAGGAAATCTGCAAGCTTGACAGTGGTAATAAAAGCTAAATAAAAATAATATAGAGAACAGAGTTAATATTCTGATGAAGTTTATTCTGCATAGTAAGAGAATAACAGATGTGGCAGAAGACTAAAGAAGAAACATACTGCTTAAAATTGATTCCTAGCAAAAATCTGCAATGGATTTTAAAAAGCATACTTCTTAACATACAAAAAATAAGTCACTGTAATCAAATAAGGTTCATTAAAAATTTATTTGATTTATTATTGTCATTTTTATAAAACGCTCCATCCAATATTTACTATGTGCTCAAACCAGGGATATCCAACAATACAGTGTATCTGGATTTCCATAAAGTAGGAGTCGATGTCTCTTAAAACGCCCTTTATGTTAAAGAATAGAATATAGGTAAAGAATAAAAATATAGGCTGGATAATACTACTATTGGTATGTAACTGGCAGAAGAATGGTATTCAATGAATATCTATCTTCTATACATTTATCTATTGACCTATCAACTATGCATCCATCCGTCTATCATCTCTTAAGGTCCCTTAATCTCAGTACATTGACAATTCTTTGTTGTGGGGGTTGTCCTGTACACTGTAGGGTGGTTAGCATCATCCTTGCTCTCTGCTCACTAAAGGCCAGTAGCCAGCCTCTCCCCTAGTCCTGGCAAATAAAAAAATGTCTACAGGCATTGCCAAATGTTCCTAGAGGGAGAAATCACCTCTGATTGAGAACCACTGGTATATATCATGAATATATATGTAACATATTTATGATATGAAATACTACAACAGATCAAGGCAATATGCTATAATAAACAACTTGAAATGTATTAGGAACAAATGTGCAATCCTGCATTTAAGTTAATTCTGGATGGATTAGAAAACCAACTTAAAAATAAAAATATTAAAGGTCCAGAAGAAAATATAGGTGAACTTAGATAAGAGCTCATGGTGAGTAAGGCATCTCTAAGCATGAAACCAAAAAAAGAAATTCATAAGAGAAAAAAACACATATCTGACAAAACATTAATTATGAACCTGCAAGGCAAAAATACTATAAACTGAATTAAAAGACAAATAACAAATTGGGGAAAAAGATCATGTAGTGGCTTAATAGTTAACATCAATATACAAAGATATTGTGTGTTGTATTGCAATATATTCATAAGAAAAATAATAATAGTCCAATTGGTAGTTGAGCAAAGAACACATCAGGCAATTTACCACAAGAAATGCTAGATGGCAATTAATAACATTTTAACTAATATTAATTAATCAGACTATATACTGGGACTAGAAGAGCTCTAAAGCTTCCCCATATACAATTCTATCATTCTTGAAAGAAAAGCAATAGGAGTTCTATACGCAGAAGGAAATATGTATCTACATCTATGTATTCACAAGAGTTGCATATTTAATAAATTCCAAACAATAGAAAATTGACAATAGTAACCAGCTGTTCCTGTTTTCTCCACTGAGAAGAAGAAAAGTAAAAACAAAACTGCAGCATTAAAGATTTAAGCTAGAATTAAAGAAAACTTATTTGACATCAGAGGTCGTAACGGAGTAGAATGCATTTAGATTGTTTCTTGTGTTTGAATAAGTTGAAAAGCAGAAAAAAATTAAAAACAAAACCAACAGTACATCTCTGGTGATTTCTTTAAAAATAAAATAAATCATTCTAGTCAAATAAAAACTCAGTGAAATCCTAACCAAAGGAAAAAGAATGCATGGGAATTAGATTACATTTGTGATTTTCCCAATAGCCATTCTACGATAAAACTAATTTCAACAAGTACCAGAATTTAATGTTCTTCCAAACAAAACTGTAATGTCTTGTCATACAAAATATTATATTCAAGTTAAGTAGTGAACTTACTGGTTCAAATTAGGTAGTGAACTTGAATATAATATTCAAAAATATTCTATATAAAATTTGAATTAGTCCATTATTATCCATAATGCAGGTAGTTATTAACATTAGTAATCTTTCAACAGATAATAGCAATAATATAATAGCTTTTATTCTGTATATCTTGCTACATGCCAGGCTCTGTGCTAAGCACCTTACATAATAAGGACTTTTAATTCTAGCAGTAACCACACAAAGTGGGTAATCTCATCCCCATTTACAGATGATAAATCAGTAGCTCGGAGGATATAAATAACTTCCATATAATCAAAGAACTCCATCTATTATTCTGTTATTTCCTTGATTGCTTTGACTGCATAGGGAATTTCATAAACTGGTTCAATTTCATCTTCTACCATATGTCCCCAGGCCTACTTCAGTTTTTAGCTGAAGCTGGTGGTGGAAAACTCCTGTGGGGATTTGGATGTTGTCAATATTTTACCTCAAGCTCAATCTTCCCCATTACTTTTCATTTTCTGCCTCCAGGATTTTTCTGAAGCCAGAGAGTTTGTTCAGCCCTGGCAAGTATCCTGGAAAAATGGGGATAGTTAACGCTTCTAGAAATAATTCTCCAGCAAAGGGTGACAGGAATTAGTGGATTAATGTGTCAGCTTTCTGTTCTACAGAGGGATAACTTCCAGGCACATTCCACAGGCTTTCTCAGCGGGTTTCCAGTAGGACTCAGCTGCAGTTGCCCACAATGATACGTAGCTCAAAACATGCACCCTTTAATTCACTTTCCCTTGTTTCCTGACTTATTTTCCCCATTCCCTCACTCCTGTATCTTGAGCTCCCTCTCAAACCAACTACCTGTCCTCAAGTCACTGTCTCGCACCTTGTTT